CTCCACAGAAGCGAACGTCGAGCCACGGCCACGCCAGGAAAAGAGCCAAGGTAGGAGCTCTGCTGCCACCCCAATGTTCCTCTCCAGGCTAATTGGGAATTTCCTGCTTTAATAAATAAAAGGAATAAAAATAACTGGGATTCCAAGTCGTTCTATATCTGTGTATTGAGGGGAATATTCCTCTTATTGGGCAGGTTAATTGGGAATTTTGTGCTTCAATTAATAAAAGGAATAAAATAACTGATTATTCAGGGATTCCAAGTCATTGTGTATCAGTATATTGAGGGGAATATTTCTCTTATTGGGGAGTTTAATTGGGAATTTTATGCTTTAAAGGCTGAAGGAATAAAATAACTGATTTATTCAGGGATTCTAAATCATTCTATATCTGTGTATTGAGGGGAATATTGGGCAGGTTAATTGGGAATTTCATGCTTTAATAAATAAAAGTAATAAAATAACTGATCTATTCAGGGATTCTAAATCATTCTATATCTGTATATTGAGGGGAAAATTCCTTTATTAAAATAACTGATTATTCATGGATTCCCAATATTTTATATTTGTATATTGAGGGGAATATTCCACTTATTGCGCAGATTAATTGGGAATTTTATGCTTCAATTAATAAAAGGAATAAGATAACTGATTATTCATGGATTCCAAATATTTTATCTTTGTATATTGAGGGGAATATTCCACTTATTGGGCAGATTAATTGGGAATTTCATGCTTTAATAAATAAAAGGAATAAAATATTTGATTATTCAGGGATTCTAAATCATTCTATATCTGTATATTGAGGGGAAAATTCCTTTATTAAAATAACTGATTATTCAGGGATTCTAAATAATTTTATATCTGTATCTTGAGAGGAATATTTCTCTTATTGTGCAGATTAATTGGGATTTAATTGGGATTTAATTGGGAATGCTGCACAGTGCCACGGCAATGCAGCTGCAGCCATTCACGTGTGAGTTTTACCTGAGGTTTTTTAACCATTCCTCTTTTTGAAATTTATTTTTTTTACCTTTTTCAGTCGAACTCCAAACTGAAACTGGTCCGGAGCTTGGCTGTGTGTGAGGAATCCTCAGGCCCCTTCGTGGATGGGCTGCTGGAGTCTCAGGTACCGCTAAAACAACACAAATTTGGCAATTTAAAAGCCCAAAAAAATCAGAAATTATTCAAGTTTTTGCTCTCTTATCCCAAAAAATTCCTCCAAGAGCTTTTTGAGACTTTTCTGGGTTGTTTTTCTGCTCAGGAAATGTCTGAAATTCCTTTTTTTTGTCACCTCAGGACATCATCCAGCTGCACGTGAGCTGCCCCTCTGACAAGGAAGAGGAAAAATCCACCAAAGATGGGGTGGAAAAAGAAGAAAAAGAGAAAAACAAAGAGAAAACCCCAAGGAAGATGCTCTCTCGAGGTCAGGTGCTGCTCTGGAACCTTCTGGAAAGTTGGGTTTTTGGTGATTTTGGGAGAAAAAAATTTAAAGGGTTTTTTTTCTTATTTTTAGCAAAGGAAATTTAAGTGGGTTTTTTAAAATTGGGTTTGGGGAAAAGATTTTATTTGGGGGAAAAAGGGGGAAAATTGTTTATTTAATAGGTGAAGTGTAAAAAGTGAGGAACTGGAGAGGCTCCAGGGTTTGCCTGGATTTTTCTCCAGGTTCACCCAAACTCTTCCCTTTTTTCTTTTCCCCTTTTTTCTTTTCCCTCTTTTTCCTTTTTCTCCTTTTTCCCTTTCCCCCTTTTCTCCTTTTCCCCCTTTTTTTCTTTTTCCCCATTTTCCTTTTTCTCCTTTTTCCCCTTTTTTCCTTTCTCCCCTTTTTTCATTTCCTCCTTTTTTTCCTTTTCCCCCATTTTCCCTTTCCCCCCTTTTTCCCTTTTCCTTTTCCCCTTTTTTCCTTTTCCCCTTTTTTTCCTTTTTTTTCTTTTCCCCTTTTTTCATTTCTTCCTTTTTTCCTTTTCCCCTCTTTTCCTTTTCCCCTTTTTTCCTTTTCCCCTTTTTTCCTTTTCCCCTTTTTTTTCCTTTTCCCACTTTGTTTTCTTTCCCCCTTTTCCTTTTTCTCCTTTTTCCCCTTTTTCCTCTTTTTTAATTTCCCCCTTATTTCTTTTTCCCCTTATTTCTTTTCCCCCTTTTTTTCTTTCCCCCTTTTCCTTTTTCTGCTTTTTCCCCTTTTCTCCCTTTTTTAATTTCCCCTTTTTCCCTTTCCCTCTTTTTCATTTTCCCCTTTTTTTCCTTTTCCCCTTTTTTCCTTTTCCCCTTTTTTCCTTTTCCCCTTTTTTTCTTTCCCCCTTTTCCTTTTT